AAGGAAAAAAAAGCTCTGTTCTTAACTCTCTCCTAAGTGAAGCTTTCCCACAGTCTTTATGAAATCCTCACAGAAGCATTTACCAGAACAATTTACAACAACACAAAGTATGGGGGAATTAAAAGGTCAGTTTCTCTGTTGAGACTGAAAATAAACACAATTTCAAACAGCAGCTACTAAAGGCATAAAAAAAAAAAAAAAAAATGAGGAAAAACTAAGGTCAGGTTTTACAGGTATTTAACCTGAAATGGGAAGTGCATCTTCTCCTGCCTGAGGACTCCTGAGGGTGTTCCAAGTCATCATCAAAGCAGATGTGGTAATGAGCTGGTAAAGAGACTACATTATGGCCCCAATTCCTGTCAGCTTTTACAGCATACTGTCCTTGCCACCCCAGACATGCAAACAGGCTGATGGAAGGAAGCACCATACCCAACATGGCTCATGGCTCCAGAACTGCCAGCTGCAAGTTGAGCTCTGCAGCAATTACCACTGTGTTGCACACTCCCCTGAGTGCACAACTCTTTCTCTGAGAACTTGCTAAATGACTTGCCATCAGTCCTGAACTTCTGCAAAACCAAGTTTAACAACAGCAACCACGTGTTGTATGCTGCTGACATCTCCACAGGAGAACATCTACTCTGTACCCCTGCCATGCAGCATGGAAACCCCCTCCCAGGCAGTGCTGGTGGCAACACCGGCCTGAAGATAGCTTGGCCATTGATGGCAATGCTACAAATCTCTTCTCACACTTTTATGGCACAGAAAGGTTGAGAAAAACCTGCTTGGAAATGAACTTCAGGTTGTGAGCTACAAAAGCCTGATATATGCAAGCACATAAGGATGGATTTGCCAATTCTTATTTTTGTGAAATGTTTTTTGTAAAAGAATAAATTTTCGTATTTAAGAAACAAACATTTTCCATCAGAACAATTGAACATTGTTCTGATGCTCAAACATCAGAACAGATAAGTACAAAAAGCTGTAATTTTGGGTAACAGAAGTAGTTTTATACTTCTGTGCAAAAAAAGAAAAGAAAAGCCATCAGAAAAACAAAACATAGATGCAAAGAAGGAATAACAGCAAATGTTATTTTTGAAGGGAAAATTGCAATCTTAAACCATCTCCTCAAAAATTCTCAATATAAATTATGGACTTTTATTGTTCATTTACTGCAAGGTTAGGCAGCCCGATATGATGGATGAACTGTCAACCCCCAACTAAACTTCTACAATCCATCACAGAAAGAGTGGAAATTTCACTCAGTGTCAATAAACCTAAATGATGAAGTGCAAAATACTTTACAGAGTTCTGATCATTTTTTAGAACACCTGCATTCACCACAAAATTTCAGAAACACTGCTGTTCCCCTACCTCCCTCCCCTGCTCCCTGCAAGTCATGAAATGCAGGTGTACATCTTGATTTATAAGTCAATGATACCATAGAATCACAGAACAGAAATGAAGTTTTTGTAAAGGTCTAGTGCTAGGGGAATGGTTTACAAAATAAGCTATTTTACTCTACCCAAACACCAAAAAGATAATGAAGATTTTGTAAAGATTTCTGTTTAACTAACCAATTATTCGAAAGTAGCCACATCATGGAAACTAACCCAGGGCTGCACTGGAGCTTGGTCTGAAATCAAGACTGCCCCTGCCCTGAGGAAATTAGAATTATTCTATGATTCCATGACAAATAAAACCAAAAGGTTTCTTTTGAGAATGCACAATAAAATATATAGCTTTCCATTTACTAAAAACCAAGAGGTTCTTGTATCTTTACTTAATTTGATGACCTATCATTGTATCTTAAAAATTAGCTACCAAATCCTCCTTTTCTTGATTCTGTGATGTGCTGTGACTTAAAGCTAAGACTGAAACTCCCAGCACCAGTATCACAATAGACTAGTCTAAAAAACCATTGGTTTTTACTACCAATCTCAGAGCCTAACACAAACTTTTGAAGTTGGTGAAGGTATTTTAATAAATTTGTAGACAGCATTTATGATCAGTTGAGTGTAAAAGCAACAATAAAATCTGTACAAATCAAGTAACCCTGCTTTGGCTTGCCATTTAGTGTTTAACAACTCAATGCATGGCTTTGATCTAAGCCTCCATCAGACTTCTCTCATCTGAAGTTCGTTTTCCCAACTTCACTTCCTAATGGTAACACTACAAAAATCCTTCTATTTGATTTTTAATTCCTTATTCCAGCAAAGCAAGCTGAGCATCATAACTAAGCCAAATCCAAAAGGCATTCTCATGTAGGTACCAATGTAAACACTTTGACCTATTCCTGTTGGAATACCCTATTTGTTTTACCTTGAAACACATTCTTAACACCTTTAGTTCACAAGTCACTCACACCCTTGCATGAAGTATATCAAATAAAAATATTTAGGTATCTTCCTTGACTTAACACTTCCAAAATTGGAACACAAAAACTTCATGGGCCCCACAGAAAAAAAAAAGGAGAAATATTAATCCAAAAATAAGTGTTTGTTTTCTCATAACTACCAGGTACTGAATGACCAAGACAAAAAAGAATGTGTATTTATGTAAATTCGTACTGAACAATGCAAGTGCAACTTCAAGTAAGTGCTTGAAAGATGCCCTAGTACTTTGATTTATTTCTAAAGCTCAGACTTATACTTTATTTTTCTTTTCTTTCTCTTCAAATTTACTAGTGTTTCATAGACACTAAAGCAGACTCAATTGAGTGAGATTACAGACTCAGATTTGCTGGAGATTCTTCACTCAATTTAATGCAGCACAGTCTCTAATGCTAAGGTGAATAAGCTTGTGTTTGCTGTAATTAGAATGCCCCTCCAGTCAAATTCCACAGCCTCTCTAGAATTAGTGTTCTTTTGAATATAACTTGTATGAACTCAAAGTAAAAATACTAACTTGCATACAATAAAACAGAGGCAGTAAAAATCTTAGCTATTAGATTCAGATCCTAATGATGTATTTGCTCCCCCACAGTCTTAACACATGAAGTTCACATACTTCCCTGTTTGAGAAATTGTGTTTGCCATATGAACTGCTAAACGTTTATTACATGAACTGTATGTAGCTCATATAATGGAAGTCTACCTTTCTCTTATGTATTTTGTTCTTCATTCTGTATACTGAACTCAGAAAAGCTCTTCTGATAATAATGACTGTCACAGTGGTAAGAAAATATCTGAACAGAGAACTCATTTCAGAAAATGGGCTAGAGAACAAATCAGAACAACCCCAATGCAAAGGCTCCTTATCCTTCCCTGTCCTCTGTGTCTAACACCACTACTGAAGTTTTACATCCATCTCTCTTTACTAAAAGGACTCACTTGACACCTCTGTACTGCAGAAACAAGTCTTTCAAGGCAAGGACTGATGATAAATTAAGCTTAATGAATGTGCTGTCTACTAGCCCAAGGAGATACTGACCATATATGAAGAAAGTGAAATTGCCTTACCGTACACTTTGTGCTCCTTGTAATGGTCAGGGTGAAATATGAAGAGAATTCCAGGTCTGGAGTGGATGCAGTGTTGCAGTTGATATGCTGTGGAAAGGAACAATACCCTTCTGTCAGTGCTGAATTTAAATAAAGATCTTCCCTTGGATGAAAGTTGTCCACTTGCTCCCATAATATGACAGCTTTTCTAGGGCTATGCTAACACAGCTCTCCAAAAGAGAGAGGAGACTTAGAAACCACCTAATCCTACCTGCACAGTGACAAACCACCTACAACTCTTACCCAAACACCAAAATAAACAGATACTTTGACTAGGAACAGTAAGGAACTAGATATCATAGCTCACTATGTTCAAGAAAGTTGCTCTTGATGACAGCTGCCCACTGTTAACATTAAGTAACTTTCATGGTCATCCTCACCTGTTTTATTCCTTGTTCATGTAGCCACATGGTAAACTATAGTATGAAACTGATATGGGTTAAAACTGGGCTTTTTTGATTTGCCACGTTAGTTTTGTATTGATCACAGAATGACTGAGGTTGAAAGGGACCTCTGGAGTCCTCTGGCTCCATTCCCTCCATCACCAGGCATTGATACACACCATTAAGATCTCCCTTGAGCCTTCTCTTCTCCAGACTAAACCACCCCAGCTCTTTCAGCTTCTTCCTATAGTACAGATGCTCCAGGCCCCCACCAGCTTTGTTGTCTTTCACTGGACTCACTCCAGGATGTTCATCTCACTCTTGTACTGGGGACACCAGGACTGGGCACAGTGTGCCATAAGTCATCTCCCTGGGGTACCAGAGAAGGTTCTTCCCTCTCGACTTGATGGTAACAAGCCTTCTACCTAATGCAGTACAGGAGGTTAGCTGCCTGCCTTTGCCACATAAGTGTTCGCTGCTGGCTCATGGTCAGCTTGGTGTTGATCAGGACCCCCAGATTCTTCTCTGCCAAGCTGCTTTCCAGCCAGCAGGCCTCCAGTCTCTCTTCATGTGTGGGGTTATTCTTCCCTCCCCTCTGCAGGATTTTGCAATGCCCTTTGATTGCCCTGAGCCCTTTGCACAGGACCCTGTTGGCCCATTTCTCCAGCCTGTGGAGATCCTTCTGAATGGCATCACAACTGTGTAGTGCAATCAGTATATGAAATATCAGAATGACACAACAGAGGAGAAAAAGCACGAGGCAGAGAATACCTTCACTGTTTTGATATTAACACAAAACAATGGCATCCAAGATAACAAGCTTCAGTTTTTAGCTGTTCATAAAAATTCCACCATATTTTTTCACTGCACAAAGTTCTGTAGTTTAGGTACTCAGCTGAAATGCTTTATCCAAGAACACTGAATACTGCTGAAGTTACATGTCATAGACATTATTAATTAACACCTCTCCACGCTGCCTCATCTTTCTTTATGCAACATTCTGCTTCCTGAAAAGTTACATTATAAACTATGCAAAAAAAAAAACCAAAACACACCAGCTAATTTGAGCAAGCACACTAAAATAACTTCTGTAATAATCATATGATAAATTGGTACCTTTTGAACACTTCCCTCAAAAATACAATCCATTTGTTCTGCAGAACAGCTATTGATTAAAACAATTTACCTGTAATGTCAGTACTGCTCAACTCATTAATTTTACTATTCTGTACTCCAGCAAATGAGCTCATGCACTGACTTGGGGTTATTTTAAAAACCACAATTTCCACTGAAAACAAAAGGGTATAAAACCACTAAGCACAACAGTTGTATGAAATGCTGCACGATGACAAAGTTTGGTAAGCACATGTACTTGAGTTGGACAGGGACTGGTCATGACAGTACATAGTAGTATGTGTCCCTTGTCTAATATCAGTAAAACATTTTGCTTCTGCAAATGCAACTGATAAGACTGCATTGGGCACATTTAAGTATAGTTATTATCACCACTTTCAAGGTCAACGTTCTGTTTTTCTTTGTTTGCCTAAATGCTTGATCTCGGTGCATCTCTTTATTCACTGAAGGTGGAATTTTATCTCCCTCATAATGTCAGGTTTACAAGGGATATTTCAACAGCTGAGTTGATCGCTCTGCCCTCTCCCTACTGTTAAGGATAATAGACACTTGTAAGCCTCAAGTCACACAATTACAAAATTCTTAAGGACACCTATAATTTCACTCTCGTGGGAGTCTAGTCCACCTCAGAGGATAAGACAAGACACATCTGTAATGACTTCATCATTTACAAATAAAGAAACCTGAAGTACCAGAAAAAAAGAAGCGGAGATGCACAAGACCAAAGTAGTCAGGTTAAAGGAATACCAGTCTCAGCACTTCTTATGTTTAAATTCCTGACATAACAATACTTTTAAATCTTTTCTGTAACACAATTACAGGCAAGAAAAGCTTAAATAATAACTTGCTAATAACTAATTCAAGATATACTTAAACTATGCTTCACCTGTTACTGCTTTTGTGGACAGGACAACTGACCACAGCAAGTAGTTTCTGTACTTGAAGAGACTGGAACCTGCCCCTCAGTAACAGTATCAAGTTTGGTCACAAATCAGGTAAACCCATTTTTCTCCTGTATAAAAATAGGATAGGAATGCATTTAAATAGAAATTACTTCTTTACTAAACAGGCAATTCCCATTGAAGGGCAGTAATATTTCAAAATTTAAATATGGGATGATTAGTTGACTAAGAGCTCAAAATGGGTAAAAAACCCCCACAACACTTCCAGTTTTAACACCCAGAACATTACTGCATTTCTATCATTTTGAGGATGCCAAAGTTCATATGGTTGTGTGTGGGGTTTTTTTTTTTTTGGTTGCATTGGTCTTTTTTGTTTTCCCCTCCTCTTCCATAATGAAAGGAAAACTGTGATCTTACTACCAAAAAGTTATGAGGTATGGTACCTTAATGACACAGGCTGCAGATATCAGTGTGTTTGGATCCAACACCTCCACAACAGCTTCTGGAATTACAGCCTTCTTCATGCAAGACATGTCAAAGCCATACACATCTTCCCAGAACAGTAGCTTGTCTGCGTGTTGATTCATGTCCCCCACTGCTATTAGACTAATGGTGCAAATGTCAGGATAAACTGTAAAAACAGAAAGAGATTAACGAAATTTTGTTTTCGACATGCATAAAGAGGACTTTTTAATTTTCTGTTCAAGTCATTAACATAGTAAGGGAACAAATCCAAGAACTTTTTTCAGTTCTTGGGCAAGACTTTTTCTGCTACTTTATTTGCTGGAATCCCATTTGTCTACAGCAGAGACTAGACATTGGAACTCATTTTTCCACATTACTCTGGTCACAGTATTTCCTGTTCATGACAAAGTATCTTTGTAGTTGAATCCCACTGCCAGGAAATAACTGGATACTCAATGTCTGAAGAAAGTAATTTGGAACATCCTATTTTGGCTTCTATACAGATGTACTCAATAACACAGACAGACACAAAGGAAAATACAGGTTAGTGCTTTGCAATAACAAGAAAAAAAATCTATGGAAAGACCGTATGAAGAGAAGAATTATTCTTACTCAAGAGTTTTACACCTGTTTCTTATCAGCTCTGGCTGGTACTTGCCTTAAAACCTGAAGAATTATTTCTGGGTATTGGAAAAGAATATCCACACTTCCATCTTCATCTGAAGACCATGAAAGTGACCCAACAGACAGAAGAGAACTTCCTCATTGATTCTCACCACAGTCCTAGGGTGACAACTATCAATTCTTACAATACCCTCACACTTGTGCTTTCCTTTCTCCCAACATTATGTTCAGAACGAGTACCTAGTAACAGCTTTTTCCAAGTCAATGGAAAAGGCACAAAGAATAGCTGCTATGAACACGGCTGTCTATAGCACTATCAAAGAGCATGAGAAGCTCCATTTCTATTTAGCTAGGTTTGTTTTCAGAAAAATTATCTTTTCTTTTTTAAAGCTTTTAATGCCATATATTGAATTCTTGATCCAGCTTCAGAGCATGTCTACTAATAAACACTTGATTTTATTTTTTATTTATATATGAATATGGCAGTGTTAATAAAACTGAAACTAAGTTTCTCTTCTTGTCCCCAAAATCTGATGAACTGTAAAATTAATTTTTTTCTTCAGCTCTGCTTGAAATTGTAGCTGATCAAAATGAGTATGGAGAACTCATCGGTACAGCACGGTGAGCCAGAAAAGCACTATTTTTCTTCCTGCAAAATACTGAAGATAGAAATAGCAAATTGAAATTAGACCTTTTATATAGTGAAAGTAGATTTTGCCTAAAGGAAATAATCTTATTAATAATAAAGAAGAGTCTTCTCTAATGCAGTGATTTTATTGTTTCATATGACGACAATAAAGTACACAACCACCTCTACCTTTGGAAAGACTAGTTCATACAAAATATGAACACACTGCCATTCTTCTCACCTTCTGTTTAAAACAGGATGAATAAACCGCTATCAGCAAGTTTAAACTGGATTCCCATTGGTAGGCTATTGTCATCCCTACTCTGCAGACAAGGAACTCGAAGCCGGTTTCCCCAGAAAAAGCTTGCAATTAACTCAGCACTAGAGAAGGCAGTTGGGTGAGAATCAAACCAGGAAGGCATTCAAACTGCCTTGCCTGAAACAGACTTAGGTTCCAGCACACCTGCCAGCTGGTAAACCTACACAACATCAACATCTGATGGTGGGAGTACTTGCGAGTAGTTTCTGGAGCCATCAATAAGGGATTTCTATTTCTCAAAGCTTTCATATTGCCGCTTAGTAGTGTGACAACTCCATTTTATTTGGCTTTGCCTCCCAGCATTCCAAACCTTCAAAAGTCACTACTAATGCTCCGAAAACTAAAAGAAAGTAGGGAACAGACAACAAAAGCAATTGACTACAACCTTTGAGGGACTATTTTTCAGGGAAATGATCTTCATATGGGTATGGCAAGAGGAGGGATGAAAAGAAACTTGAAATACCTAACTACAGAATATCCTTAATGGAGCGTGCTAACAACAGTGCAAATGAAAATGAAAACCACAGCAAAAAGTGATCAGCTGTTTTATAACCTTTCTTCCTCAGACTAGCCCATATTTATGGGATATTATGCTAACAAGCAAAAGTTTACCACATCTATCAAGCATGGAATATTTGAGTGGGACCATAATCAGTTTTTATATCTCTTTGTCCAGACCACAAATCCTTCAAATCAGCAGTGGACCTCATGAGCGATTATCCAAAGCACTGAAGAACAAACAAAAATGTAAATGCTAACGCTCTAATCTAATTTCTATTTTTAGCTTAGCCTGTCAATAGCAATAAAAAGCAGACTGACGGTTCAGACTCCCCCATAAGAAATCTGTGTTCCACCAACAGGGCACAGGGAAAAGACTGCAGTGATACATTAACTTCCAAATTTACAAATGGACCCACGTCCAGAAGCAAATGCTATACTGAAGTATGACTGGAAATGGAAGCATGTCATCTAAATATCAACCTAAATCATCTAAGTGCAGTAGAGTTTTTTAAATGTTTCAAAGTATCTGCCCAAAATTCCATCTATTTCACTCATGATCCTTGAAATCCTGGAAATCCTCTGCTCTTTCTGCAGCCCTCTAACACTTCCCTGTGGAATCCTGACAGACTTGTCTTTTTTTCCTGATTAAGGCTATAATTTAATATTTCTTCCTTCTCACAAGTGAGGTGAACAAAATGCTGATTGGACAGAAGCACACACTCCTTAAGAGCTCTCAGATTCATCGTTTTGACCATCTGTGTCCTTCTCGACTCAGTGCCCAGCAGTCATCTGTCACTGGGACGGCTCACGTGGGGAGCAGGAGACGAGGGGAAATCCTTTATCCTTGGCACTGCCTCCCACGCCTCGGGACGCTGAAGGGTAGGGCAGCAATCCTCCAGCTCTGCAGCAGTAACTCCCAGCGAGCACTGCCGTCACCCTGACGTGAACCAGCCGACAGCACCACGCTCCCAGTGACGCCCCCCCAACCCACGTCACCCCCCAGGAACCACCGCACCCGGCTATGCAGCAAGCTGCAGTCGGGCCAGCGACGCCTCAGACAAACAGATGGGTCCTGGGCAG